TCTTAAATGGTTCTCCTATTATGGGTAAAGGTATCATTGGAGCCTTCCTCTTGTGATTTGCATGTAGCTGGCAATCTTTACAAGCTTCACAATAGAGTCTCACATCTTTAAATAAAGTAGGCCAATAGAACCTCCTTAATATCCTTTGGGTTGTCTTGTCTCTACCCAGATGTCCTGAAAATGGTAAATCATGTGCTAACCTGATGACTTTATTCCGATACTGTGCTGGTAGAACAATCTGTTCATATGTGGTACTTGGTGAGTCCTTGGGTCTCCACGTACGACAAATTACTCCTTCCTTCCGAACTATACGTGATGGATCCTCCTTCTTTATCCATGACTGAATCTCGCAATCTTTCTCCTGGTCCATTATCAGTTGTTTAGTCTGATTGGTACTTTCTATTCTGTTTCTCTTCTGATTTTGTCTTCTCTTCTCTCCTCTAGTCTGATATATCTTCGTCCGAGTTGTAGGTTGAAATAGCTCCTCCTCAAATGGAAACTGTACTCCTAGATCTTCATCTTCCAGTATTGTCTCCTCCAGTTCACTCTCTTCTCTTGTCTCTTGCTCCATGGCTTCACTTTGCTCCTCTGATCTTTCGGGTAATGGCTGATGCTCTTCTGAACGCTGCTCCGTATCAACTTGAATCTGTCTTCTCTTCTGAGCTCTTGTCATCACTGCTAATGCTGATTCATCTTCTGACTCTTTAATCCCTCCAATATCAATCTGATGCTCTTTAGCCAGTTGTTTCAGTAGCTCTATCTGTTCTGATTTTGGTAATCGCTTTGCCATATGTTTGTGTAGTGGTACATCCCTTCCCAACAGCACATCTTCTGCTAGTCCTTGTACTACTGCTGCTTTCACCTGGTAATCCTCTCCATCAAATGTTATCCGAACTGATGCTAGTGGATACTCCCCATAAGTTCCATTCCCAAAAGTAACTCCAATCGTCTCCTTCTCTATGTCTTTCAATGCTACAAACTTCCTATCAACCACAGTCCTTGATGCTCCGCTGTCTATCTGAATTCGCTTCACATTGTGTCCATTGATCTTTCCTTCTCCATGCCAAATGACTTCCTCTGCATTCTCTTTGGCTCGTAGAGTTTTCTCCGTACATTTTCTTGCTATATGCCCCTTGCGATTACACTTGTAACAGGTAATCTCTGAAGGTGACTTTCTCTCCTTCTTGTTTCCAGTAGATCCTTCAGTCTTCCTTGGGAACTCCTTTGACCGACCATGATCCTGCTTTGGTCTATTCCTCTGTGGTAAACAACTATGAGCTGTATTATAAGATTCAATAAGCTCTCCAACTTTCTCTGGTGTCTCTGGGTTCTGAGAAGTTACCCAGATTCTCATCTCTTGTGGTAACCCATTTAAAAGCTGCTCTACTGCAATCTTGTTAACTACCTGTTCCATTCCATTCTCTGGTACTAACCATCTTTTCACCAGTTTGACTCCTCTAGCTATCCAATCAGTTGGGTCTTGATCTCTTGTCCAAACATGACTCCTGAACTTTCTTCTACATCTCTCTGTGTTGATGTTATAATGCTCCAAAATAGCTTTCTTGACTCCATCATAATCAGTAGTAGTTCCCAGATCAGTACAAACAGTTCTAACCTTGCCACTTAGTAACGGTGTCAGACGTAGAATCCAATTTGTCTGATTCACCCCTTGTATCTTCATAATACCTTCGAATGCTTCAATGAAGTCTTGGATATCCTCTGTTTCTTGATATGGTGATATTTTTAAATGAGGACTATTCCCTTCTCTTTCTGCTAGAACTCCTTTCATAATCTCTATCTGCTGCATATGCTGTTCCTGCATGGCCTGTATCTCTTCATAATGTCTCTCTCTTTGTCGCTCCTCTTCTCGACGACGTTCTTCAGCTTGCTCCTCTCGCTGTCGCTCCTCTTCTCGACGACGTTCTTCAGCTTGTCTCTGGGCCTCCTCTCTTCTTCGCTCCTCTTCCTGATGACGTTCTTCAGCTTGTCTCTGGGCCTCCTCCCAACGACGTTGCTGCTCCTCCTGAAGCTTTGCTAAACTTGCCAAAGCTGCCGCTAATTGCTCCATCGGATCACTAACTCCTGTAATAAGACTTTCTTCCACTTCAGTACAGTCTTCCGTATCAACTGAAGTATAACTCTCTCTGAAAATATGCAATCCTCGCAACTGTCCTCTGTAGTCATGTCTTGGTAAGTCCCGTAGAGAATACCGCCCTTGATTCTCTCGACTGTTATCCGACATAAACAGTCACACCAGACACTATAAACTTTAGTCTCTCTCTCTTGCCGAGATACAATAGTGGGTCTTTCCTCTACAACCGTTTGAGAACTATCCCACCGCTGCCACCAAAAAATGTAACAGACGCTCCTAGCTATCTGTTCACCAAACTTATTTCTTAATCAACACGAAACTCAACTGAGCTCAAAAACCAACTAACAAAACTAACTCACAACTAACACACAACTAACACACAACACACTTATATAGATCTTATAAATGTCCAGAAGGTTCTATAACATACAAGAATACTTTACATGATTGTTCTAGAATATACTTGAATAAACACATAATATATAATTACAATAGTACACAGAGAGTTCCGGATCCATTTAGAAACAACTTCTTACAGAGATAGAGTGTCCAGTTTGTCTTAATATCTTGACAGATCCTCATCTGGTGAACTGCTGTGGACATAATTTCTGTGGGTCTTGTATTGAGAGAGTAAAAGCTAGTAATGGATCCTGTCCTATGTGTAAAGAGAAGGAATATCAATCATTCATAAGAAGTGTTCAGGTCTATTGCAGCAAAAAGGAGAAATGATGTGAATGGAAAGGACAATTGAAGAATATGTCTACTCATCTTAATAAAGAGAAGAGAGAAGGAGAATGTCAATATGAAGAAGTAGAGTGTCAATATGAAGAAGTAGAGTGTCAATCAGACATTGCACATCTGCTTAATAGTTCATTTACTTGTATTTACTTCTATTTTTAAAATAAAGTTCTTGTATTTACTTGTACTAATGTCAAAAATATTCTCTATTTTAGAAAACTTAATTCATGTATTTTACTTAAAAATTCATCTACTATCATGTATTGAAATGAAGAAGGGAGGACAAAAAAACACTTAATAGTTATTATAAAATGCACTCACAGTACAGTAAATGAGTATTGTTAAGTATTATTTAAGAAAAATGAGTTTTTCCAGTTTTGAAAAACTGCTACTGTCAGATTACTGCTAGAAGTGGATGGAAGAGAGATTCAATAGATGATGTCCTTGAGCATATGTGTTACTTGGTCACACATAATTCAATTAAGGTGTGGCTTAAGTAAATACATGATTTTATTCTTCTACTTACAAAACAGGATCATGTATATACTTGTATTTATTTTATCATAAAAAATCGTGTAAATATTCGTATATCGTCTATAGATGTGCAATGTCTGGTGTCAATATAATAATTGTCAAGAAAGAAATCAATGTAGATATCTTAAGTATCATGAAGAAAAAGTATGTGATCAACATCCATTTCAATGCCAATACTGTAGGGAAGAAGGTACATTCCTCTCTATTACAAAGGATCATTATGAGGAATGCAGGCAGTATCCTGTTACTTGTCCCAATAAATGTGTGTCTACT